CAGACAATCTGTACAAGTTGGCATGTGTGGGTTCAGGCTGAAGCTGCCCCGTTGCCTTACTGCTGGTCTCTCTCTGTGTGTGATGAACAAAAACACACAAAAACATCAAAATTAGCGCAGAAACAGTACTATATAACATTTTAGACACATTCTAGACAGTTTATCAGCTAAAAAAAGTTAATTTTGGGGTAAGTTACTCTTTAAATAGCTACTTACTGCTCTACTTGTGTGTATCTCACATGTGTGATGGGTCAAATGCAGAGAACCAATGTTGTCATTGTATTGGCACATACAGTATACTATGATGGCAACATGTAGCACTTTCACTTAATTAGCATGTTGACTGCAATTAACATAATGGGGAAAAATACAAAGCTATATTTATTTATAACATAAAAAGTTCTGACAAAAGTTTATTGATACAATTGAAAGTGTGATGAAGGATTAAAAGTGTTCTTTACCTTTTTACAATTTGCATTTCATCTATTTTTCTGATATCAAAGGAAAACAAAGTAAATAAATAACTGGTATTGAAAACCAGTCAAACTATTATTTTCTAAATTTGTATCTCCGTCAATCCAGACTTTTCCATTCGCTGCATCCCTGCTACAGATATAACAAACTTCTAATTTGCATTTACAAACTTTGGGTATGAAACGACTTTTGTCAAAGAAATTACACTATAATAATAGTTCTGTCTAACCCTCAATTTTGAGTGTTTTCTAGGCTGGATAACATTACCACTGATGAAGTTCGACTGTCAGAGGGGGCAACCGCCGGCTATGATTAACCCAAACATCAGCGCTCTCAGTGCCGTCATGTAAAATGTGTTTACTTCCACTTTGCCTCTGCAGTGATGCTGCTTCTGAGTGAGAAAGCAATTTATATTTCAACTGCTATATTCCATCATAAAAGGCAGAATTTAAATGAGATTTACTTTCACCACAACTCAATGGAAAGGATACATATGTTTGCACACGGGACACTGAAAAAAAATTTAACTACATACCAAATGTTTTAGCTATTTGCTAACAGTCTTTTTGTTGTGACTGGTGTTTACTGTGTTCCTTTAAACCAAATAGTACTTTTGAAAGAGCTACATCAGCCTTCCTGGTTTTATAGATATCTGGTCAATACTGAAAGCAACGCTGCATGCCACAAAACCAGAAATATTATGTGTTACAAACCTTCAATTCCTCAGTATGTTCCTGCATGCTTACAGACCACAGAGACACTTTACTGTATCAGGAAACAACATGTATCAGTTAACTGCTCCCCAGTCTTACCAGTGCTGTTGGAGCGTTTGCTTCCCAGTAAGCTCCATCCTGGCGGCAGCGCGAGGTGGTGGAGGGCCAGCGCCAGGCTCTCATCCAGAYGCTCACACTCTTTCAAGGGAATATGACACTCATCCAGCAGCAGCGCCCCATCGAGGCCATCAGCCCGACCCGCTGTGCTCACCTGTGAGGAAGGTGATTTACAGAGTTGAGTCGAGTGTTGCTGAAGAGGAGAACAGAGGCCGAGGCGGATGGAGGCACACGTTTTAACATTCTCAGCACAGATGTGTGAGCCAAATGGCAATGAATAATGAAGGCTCTAAATATAAGAAGACAGATCCACTGAGCTGCAGCTGTGCTGACAGAAACAAAAGTCCACAGCAAAGTCATTTTATTGTGTCCATTTCCGTAGTAAATAAACTCAGAATTACATTTACATGAGATGATGAACAGGATGTAAAAAAATCATCAAATTTTCAAGCCTGTTAGAAATTAGAGTCAACAACATTCAGCAATGTTCTGTTTTATTCCAACTCTGCCCAAAAGCCTGTGATACTTTTTTCCTTTTATTCTGTGCTGCACTTTCATTCCTGTGATTTTCCCCTCCTATTATAGAAATTGAAATGTCTTGCCGCTCACCAGAAACTGGGCCATGTCAAAAGCCAAATCCTGAACAAAGCTGAATCGATGCTTGGCCAATGGAGCCACACGACCTGGACAGGACTTTGGGTCCTCGGGGGCCTCAGAGGTATTTCTGGTGGCTGAACACAAGGTGACCAGCACCACCTCACAGCAGTCATGAGCTGTAAAATGAAACAGGGAATGACAGAAAAAGAAAAGGTGAGAGGAGAGAATAAGGAGGGGTGACAGAGGACAGGCCCGTGGAGGACGAAAATGTTGTGTCCAACATTAAAATCAATAACATTTAGGTCAGAACATTCTACTCTGTGCTGAAAAATGGCTTTCTAAATTTGATGCTGTACAAACTAGAAATGGGAAGGGATTTTGGAGAATTTGCAGCATCACTGAGACTTGGTCAAAAGAAAAAGCATGTCATTTTTTAAGGTGCAATATAAGCCGCGAAACAGACATGGTTAATATTCGTATAAAGCCTTTGTTTGAAACAATTAAATCTGCAAATTTGTTGGTCTTGAAATGGTTCAAATGTATACAGCATTTCCTGAGAATGTATGTGACCAACACATCAAATCTAGGATTAAATCAAATTTGATCAAAAAGACCTAAGCACATTTTCAGATTTCTGGCTTTTTAAGCTACATTTTAATACATGGATCATTCTGATATCAGGAGTGGTTCCAGAGATTTGACTTGATTTGTCATGTTAATCATGATAATACATTCATAAGGCTGCAACCCATGAACTGGTCTGAATCCTATTTTTAGGTTAATAAGATTTCCCATCAGGAAAGAAAAAAAAAACTTTGCTAGCTTCCAGGAAAWATATTAAAAAATTAAAGCACTTTTGCTCAAAATCTTTTTTGTTGCTACCGCTCACAAAAGTGCTTCAAAAATCCTTCAAGRTTTTACTGTATTTCAGACATTTAATTCAAATGATCCATTGATAAGGTTAATTACATTTTGACCATATGCCTTTTTCTCCACATACCACTTTGGGGGATCTCATTTCCAGTTCCACATGATGGGTCACATATAACACAGACAGGTGAACTTAAACAAGTGTGTGATTTCTGACAATAATTATCAACATCACATCGTTAGAGCCTCAAAGCAAAATGAGTCAATAAATATGAAGTTATAACTGCTGAGTGATTATTTCAAAATGTTTCCCTTGTTGGATTGGTTTAGTTCATGCAGATCTATTAACAGAAACACCCACAACTCATTTATTCAAAGTGGATGCTGCATTTTAACAAGCCTGAAACAAGACTTTTTTTCCAAAGACATTCTGTTTATCTGTGCATCTGAGAGTAACTTGCCACAGTACAGCAGAACAACACAGTCATTTGAGAAACACAAATGTGATGTTATTACTATTGTAAAATGTTTGCTGATGGGTACATTTAAATGTGTTTTTTGTCTAAATATCTAAAAGGTTTGCATAAACCTTAATAATTCTACACAGAGCAAAAGGGATGAAAGTTTAAATATCTGAATGTATGGAATATGCTTAAAGTCTCAAAGAAAACAAGAAAAAAACAAACACATGTACATTTACTCGCTGTACTCACATAAACACATTGTTTTTTTGTTAATCCTGCTTTGACATAACAGGGAAAATACTGAGTGACTATTGCAGAATCTATGATACACTACAATGATTTTTCATTACATCGATATAACTTCCTTAGTTCCACCATGGCTTACTGTCACATATGACTTCCTGGGATATTTAAGTCAATCTGTAATATTATAAGTCACACACGCGTGGTTGCTGAGACAAAAAACATTGTCTCAATAATGTGATTCAATAAACTAAAAGCATTCAGAGACTGTGGAAGGAAACTTGACCACCCAGAGACAGGCACAGGGGGTGCATAGCACAAGCTCTAGCGGGGGCTCATTTAATTAACTGCAATGTCGATTTAATACCTATTTTTCAGCTCTGTAAATGGTACAGTAAAATGGTGTGCTCATTTTGTGGTAATAATGCACAATAATCTGTGACAACGGGGTGCAGGCGTGCACTGCTGAATTAAACTCTAATTCACACATAAAGTCAGAATGTTATTTAACGGAATAAAAGATTTCTTCAGTTTATCCAACCCCCCTTCGGTCACAAGTCGAATCTGCTCCGGCGGCAAATTAATAACAAAACATATAATGAGTTAAATTAAGGTTTATGCAAATTGATAGTGAGGTGTCTATTAAAAGTAATGAACATGGAGGACTGTAGTCCAGACATGGCCAAATATAAAACCCCATTATTCAGAAAATAAAGTCTCGGTACTGCTGTTTTTTTATAATTCAACATTGAGTTTCTGCTTCGGATTTACTTGCCTAAATTATATTCCGTATTAATTCATGTCATAATATGTGTTTTTCTGTTAAATAAAGTATGTAGTTCCTTGACTTCATCTGTTAGTTTTATTC